GCGGTTTCGGACCTCCGCTCCCGCGCTGATGCCACTGGCTGTCACGAGCGCGCCAGTTCTCTGCGCCCCGTCCCGGGCTGCAGGCAGGAAACTTAAAACACACAAATACTTCTCGGAGCAGAGGAACGAGGGCAAGGAGGAAGGGCTCTCTCAAGGACAGACGTGGAAGTCGTTTAAATAGATATATTTTTTTCCTCTTTCCTAGCAAGAGCCTGAGGTGGGGGAACAGATCAGCTGCCGCATCTGTGACGCGAAGCCAAATACCACGGATGTCCTGAGGGTTCGTTGCAAGAGCGCGGATGGGAAAGGCCTCCGAGCGCCCCGGCCGCGGGGGCTGCCTGGCCATTTTATTTTTATTTTAAAAGAAAAGCTGAGAATCAGCAGAATCTAAATACGCCGCTCAGGCCACAGAAATTGCAGGCGAGCAGCACATGTGACACCTCTGCTTAAGGACGCTTTGGGATATCATTTGTTTTTATGACCAGGTTAGCGCGGAAACCTGGACATTACAAACCGTTCCTGGAACGAGAGGGCCAGCGTGAGTCGCTGCCTTGACTCTGCGAGACCTGCCTGCGCGACGCTGGCCTTTCAGGTGTGAGGCCGGCCCATCAAAGAGCTGCTGTAATAAAAAATATATATATCATAAATTGCACCATTTATAGAGCGTCTAGCACCCACCAGGTCTCGCAAACTGGAGACGGGGCCAGCGCCACGCGCGCTCGCCGGCCCCGGGGCTGCAGGGACCACCTGGGTCTGACCTTCACCCAGGTGGACCACGAGACCTGGGGTGTCCGGGGCGGGGGGTGGACCAAGAGACTGAGGCATCCAGGTGGGCAAGAGGTGCCATCGCTCCGACTGCCAGCAGCCCGGGCGACTGTACAGCTCTAGAGCGATTGCTGGCAGGTCAAAACAAAAGAGGAACCGCGGAGGTCTTCCGGCTCCCTTCAGCAGCAGTTACAGCCTCTCGGCCACTAGTTCAAACGATCCTTGGGGTGCAGCAGGCCGTGTCCGTGCTGCAATGCAGCACAGGTCTGGGGGACCTTCATTTCCATCAGTCCCCAGCCCTCCCAGCTTGCTTTGCTGGTCCAGCAGTGCATCGAGTCTAAGTACTGAAGCTCTCTCATGCCACTAAGTTTTTCTCCGAGCAAAACTTTTTTAGGTTCAGAGTAAGGACTTTGCAGCTGCGACAGCACCATCCTCCTCCCCAGCCAGTCCCTGCAGGCCAGCCCCGAGCAGGGCGTCCGCCGAGAGACACCGGCGCTACATGCGCTCCGGCCCAGCCGCAGCAGGCGGTTTAGGAAGGAGAAACCTCCGCATCGGGCAGGGCTGGCGACCAAACAGGCGGCTCTAGCACCGGCCCCTCGCCTGCGAGCCAGGGGCCGGCACTCAAACCAGGTTTAACGTGCTGAGCTCACGTGAAAATCCACGGTCGCAGCGCCCGGGCAGGTGGGAGCTCTTGGATACCGGAGATTTTTTTAGGGTAGGTTAGCCCAACTTCTCCCCGGCAGGAGTGATTCCTCCAGAGGACAGAGGAATAAACCAACCGATCTCCTGGGGGCTCTTCCGGTCCCGTTTTCCTAAGATCTATGATTTTCACTGGCTTGTTCGTTATTAGATATGTACGGAGGCGTTTGGAGAGAGATAATAGCTCCTCTGCCTCGGAGGCAGCAGCGAAGGCTTGAGCCTCTCCGGGGAGACACGCGCTCACTTCCACGAGCGAAACGAGGAGCTGGGGGGG